CTTTTTGGTTCTCTCTAGGAAGTGGACTTTATTTAAATTGGATGTGACACTGACTGGCTTAGCATATACAAAAAAAAAAAAGGAAAGTGACTGGATCATGACTTTGGGTTGTTTATGATTGAGTGGGAAAAGGGAAATCAGGTTTTTGGTGCCAGGGCAGTAAGGCAGTAACCTGCCTCTTATTAGTACACAGGTAACATCTTGTAACTTAGAACCATACCCATCAGCCAGGCTTGTTTCCAGCCAGATAGGAAATGTAGAGGAAGAAGATCAGCCAGGATGAGAGAGAAGCACTTCAGAGCTCAGGGCCAGATGAGGGAGGGCGGAGTCCATAGAAATGAGTTTCTATCTCTGTACTTAAAAAGGCTAATTGGAAAGGAGAAATGATAGCTAAGCGGAGTGCAGAAAGCCCTGGGGTTTTGAAACAGTTCCATCCTCCAAGAGGCGTTGGGATTTCGGTTGCATGTGTTTTGAGCTTGGTTGGCCTCGTGTGCAGTTGTGCGGATGTTTTGGGCCTCTGTGCATTCCCAGTTTATTACGGGAGACTTTTGTTACACTCTTTAGGCATCCCTCCGGTCGAGGCAGATGCCGGCTCCTCCTCCCGCTCGTGTGGCAGGCGGCCCAACAGCTGTGACAAGCACAGCCCAAAGGTTGGCTGCTGGGAGAATGCGCTGCTCCTGCCAGCCCTGTCTCCCTGCCAAGAGGGAGGTCCCTGTCCCCAGTTTCTTATGCGTGGAAAAGTTGCGGCCCCGTGGGGGTGCAGGCATGCATTCTAGAAAATGCCTGCCTCCCACCCTCTGTGGATAAAGCTTCCTGCGGGAATATAATTAGAAACTGATGAGACTTCCGCGACAATGCTGGAAACTGTGCCTAGCATCTTGTCTTGGGAACAAAGGACATTCTGTGCAGTTTGCAGCAAGAGGCCCCTGCAGGGTAGGCTGGGAGAGGAGAAAACAGACCTGACTTGCTATCCCAGGGCTCTGAGCTCCCACAGAGGCCTGATGGCAGTTGCTAAACACATCAGGACAGTGCCTTCTTGCGGCTGCTTCTGCTTACTAAGGACCTCTGAGCAGCTGGGCACCCCAAGCTTCCTGATGGCTTTTGGAGGAGGAGGAGCTGAACTGTCAGGAGCATCGGCAAGTGAATGGCTGCAGGGGCAGTGGATGTGGAAACATTGGACATCATGCACTTCTGAGGCCTGGAAGGAACCAGAAAGCAGCTGGGGACCTGCAGGCTCCCCGTGGGTGCTGGAGTATCCCACCTGGACCTGAAACAGCATCAGAAGCCAGCCCCATACCTGTCTGAAAAAAGACCTGCCAGTCCTCTTCCTTGCAGAGCACAGAGCTTTTGTGTTAAAAATGGGCCTCTCACAGAGCATTTTTGTTTCTCTGGGAAGCAATATATGGCAGTTGGTGGGCAGTTTTCAGTTAAGGTGTCATGCTTTAAGCCTGGGCACCTTGAAACTTCTTGAATCTGTGAGGATGGAGCCTATGTGAAAAGGTATCTAAATCAAGCAATAACAATAAAAGCACAAACAATACTAAGTGTTAATACTTTTGAAAAAACAAGTCACATTTTTTTCAGGCGTTCTTTTCCAGTGTATTTTGGAAGGTATGTGGTAGAACTGCTGGGGGCTCCCATTACACATGGTGGCGTCCCCACGTCTGTCTATCTCAGGTGTACTCCCACACAGGGCCACACTTCTTCCCTCTGGCTTCTCCGTTGTTCATTCCCGAGGTCACTGTGCCCTCTTCCTGGGTATCCTTGCCTGCTGCACTGAGAGGTCAGTTGCCTGGGTGCTGGATGCCTCTGATAGGTGCTGAGACAGGTGTACTCACATTTAGGGCTGTTTCACCTGCCAGACAGGCTTCTTGCAAAATGTGGGACACATGGCAAGTTAGGGCATGTCACTGTCACTGTCCTTCTCCGGGTATAACCCAATGTCATCGGACAGTAGGAGATCTGAATAAGCTTGGGTCACGGCAACTAAATACACCTTCAACTCTTATGGAGATTCTAGGGTTGGGGTCAGCATTGACACTTGTTCTTGTTTGTCTCAATGATGAAGCAAGATGTTCTAGGGGATCAGAAGGGGGCTGAGAGACCTGTCAGAATCTCTGCTTATCATTGTGTATCGAGCTGGCAAGCCTGCTAATTCCTTCACCTGTGAGTGCAGTCTGGCCCTGCCTTCAAGGAGCCTGTGTTGAGAGTGGGGGCAGCTAGGAACATAGCCACCTAAGACCACCTGGCTAGTGCCCTAATGGAGGAAGGAACAGGATGCTGTGGGCAGCTAGGAGGAGGCAGGAAGTTCTTCCCAGAGGAGGTGACATTCAGAATGAGTCTGAGAGGATCAGGATGTGAGCTCAAGGTGGCTCAAAGGTCAGGGAGATGTGAGGGCATTCCAGGGAGAAGTAACAGCAGGTATAGACACGGGGAGTTTGAGCCAGAGAAGGTGTACTAGGCGAGGTGCATCCTGGAGGCTCTGACCCCTAAGGTCCCTCCTAGGGGGAGCCCCAAGGCCTCAAAATAGCTTCAGGGAAGCCCCAGATGACTTTGAGGGAGCCAGGACTTCACAGCCAGGCTTCTCTACAGATAGCCTGTCCCCTGCCCATTGTCCCCAGAGCAAAGTTCCTGAGTTCCCGTCACCCTAGGGAGCCTGAAGGCCCAACCAGCTATGGTGCTCAGACTTGAGATGTAGCACCTTCTAGAGAGACTGAGAGAGCCGGTGGCCAGGGCCTGCCCTCGGTGGGTGCTGGCATGTGTGAGTGGACTGCTCCCCATGGAGGCGTGTGGAAGATTCTGCAGTGGGTGCTGGGGCTCCCCTCTGGAGCTCCGCTGCACTTCTCTCTCTGCGTGTGTATGTGTGGGTGCTTCTTATAAGCACAGGGGTGTAAATGGTGACCCGTGGGATGGGATGAGGGCAGAGAACCTGGAAGGGGATCCCTGTGAGCTGTGGTGTCACCAGAACAGCCATTCTGGGACACCCGTGCAGGTGGATTCTCAGTGCACAGGTGGTATAGGGTTTTCATCTCTGCTGATTTGCCAGCTACTCTCTTCAGAGACCACAGGCTTGCTGCCATCTGTTCCATTCTCACGTGGGTGTGGGGATCGGGTCCCTTCCTTCTGATCTGATTCCTGGTTTGGTCTTGGAAAACTTTGCTGTTCCTTCAGAGTCCCTCGCCCTCACCCCTCATCCTTGGCATTAAACTTTCAACAGGATACAGCGATAGGCCTGATGGTGGGGTCAGACCTGGTAGGAGGCTTACCATTTAGGGTCCTCAGTCCCTTTGTCTGTGTGGCAGGGGTGAGTGCTTGGGCAGGAAGGGGCAGGTGGGTGCCAAAAGGAAGCCAGCCTGCACAGCTTGGACATGGCTGCTGGGAATTTGATTTTTTCTTCCTTTACTCTGTTGAGTAGGGGACCATAGTGGCTAATATGAGGATACCCATATCTTTTTATTTGGAAAAAGTGTTCAAACTCAGTGCAAAAATAAAAATAGCGTAGGGAACACCCTTACCCAGATTTTCCTGTTGTTAGCATTCTGCCTCATTTGCCTTTTGGTTGCTCTGTGTGTGTGTGTGCATACAAACTATTTTTTTCTGAATCATTTGAGGGTAAGTTGCGTATATTGTGTCCCTTTCCCCCTACGATCATACTTAATTATATATTTCCTAAAAACAGTGTGTTTGCATCTTTTAGTAAGTAGATACCTGATGTGATAATATTGGTATTTGGGATAATTTTATGACAAGAAGTTCATTGTTTTATAAATTCTACTAAGTCGTCATTATTTTTGCACATGTGATAATGCTTGTAATCAAACATCAGTAGATGATGGCAGCAGATTTAACTGGTCACATTTTCCCTCCCTTTCTGAGGCTTTTTAGGTGATGTCTTGAATGAATTCAGTCTTGAAACTTTCTTTCATTCATTACACAAATACTTCATGTGTCTCTTATGTTGTCTGACACTGTGCTTTAGTGATGAGTTTCTAGGTAAGCAAGCTCAGACATGCGTTCTGTCTTGTGAGCTCCAGCCTAAGTACAAGGCAGATACTGATCAGATAATTCCATAAACCAGGGGTCAGTAAACTATGGTCCATGGGCCAAATCTGACCCCCTGCCTGTTTTTGTATAGTTCATGAGCCAAGAGTGATTTTTTTCACCTTTTTAAAAAAAATCTGAGTCTCACTCTGTCACCCAGGCTGGGGTACAGTGGCATGCTCACAACTACTGCAGCCTCGACCTACTGGGCTTAGGAGATCCTTCTACCTCAGTCTTCCAAATAGCTGGAACCACGGTCATACATCACCATTTTTTTTGGATTTATTGTAGAGACGAGGTCTCGCCAAGTTGCCCAGGCTGGTCTTCAACCTCTGAACTCAGGCAATCCTCTCACCTCTGCCTCCCAAAGTGCTGGGATTACAGGCGTGAGCCACTGTGCCTGGTTGATTTTTACACTTTAATGGTTGAAAAGAATCAAAAGAAGAGTACTCTTTCATAACATGAAAAACATTATATGCAATTTAAATTTCAGTATCTGTGAAGTTTTATTGGAACACAGCCATGCCCAAACATTTCTGTACTGTCTGTGGCTGATTTTTCATCCTAGCTTCAGGGTTGAGTGGTTGCCATGGTGACTGCAGGACCTGAAACATTTTAAATATTTACTCTCTGGAATCTTACAGACAAAGTTTTCCAACCTCTGGTGTAAATACCCATAGAAGTGTTAGGAAGAAAGTATATAAGGAGAAAAAAGGTCGTGTACTAGGAGGTCTATGTGGGGAGCTAAGGAAGAATCCTGAGTTGGGAGCTGAGGGAGGAAAAGGGGTCAGTTGGAAGTGTGGGCTGGGCCTTCCAGACAGCACACTCAAAGGCCTTGAGGTTGGGGAGTGGTGTTTTCAAGGACTGAAAAGGAGGGGGAAGGGGATGTTAGGGAGGGGCCAGAATGAGTGCAGGGCTCTGCTGGAAGGTGCTGACTCTTGTTCTTACCTTTCTTTTAGGTAAAACCTGTTTTCCAGTGTGTTGACATCCTGTGGAAAGTTGGTCAGCTGTAAACTGGGGAGTGAAGGATCTGGAAGCCCTCTCGCGTCTGAGGTGTTGAACCAAAACAAACATTATTTATGAAACGCTGGCTCCATTGTTTGTGCTGGACAACTGCTCAGATTGTCACCATCAAGCTTGTTTTCAAATGACCACGTGGAAGTCATTTCTGCCACCCTTTGGGCACCCCTTTCAAATGTCACCCCTTCCTCTCCACACTTCAGATATTTTTTCTGGCCCACTAAGGAGTAAAGGGTAGAAACACTTTTTTTTTTTTTTAATTGTTTTTTAAGGTAACTGTTGACAATAGTAAAAGAGATCAGGAGGATCAAGAATCTAAAAAAAGCCTGAGTGATATCCAAGTGTATATTTAGAACTTCTGACATTCTTTTCTCCTGGATCTACGAGTTAGACCTCATCTGACCCTCTGGTGTATTTTCAGTGTGGCCAGGTCCTGGCTTTGTGTTGGTAATGTTTGTGTGAAGTTCAAAGTGGAGGTGCATAGAGCTGTCAGCTCTTCTAGAACTGGACCCATTATGATTGTTTTTGTTTCTTCTCTTTGTTTTTTGTTTTTTTTTAAAAGGGGTCAGCAGACATAGGCATGGCTAGTTCACAAAGCATTTCCAATATCAGGGAAAACTGTGTGTGTGTGCATGTGTGTGTGTATGTGTGTATACATATAAAACAGTTTCTCTGAAGGAAAAGGAAAGTGCTAGACAGCTTTTGGTTAGTAACATCTTTTGTGTTTTGGTGTTTGTCTCTGCTCTGTCAAAGTTCTACACCGTTTGTCCTAGAAATGTAAGTTTTAAAAACCACTGTGGCAATTGAAATGGTGATTTGGTTGTCACACTGTCAGTGACTATATTTGAAGTTAGTCTAGGCCAGATTGGACTAGAAACTCACCTGGACCCAGGAGGTCCCACAGGACCCAGGAGGTCACTGCAGGACAGCCCTTCCCACAGCTTGGAGGAAGAGATTCAGGTGAGTGGCTCATTTTTGAGTTTGTGAAGTGAGGATTCATCTGACATTGCCCAGAGATCCACTGGTTCCTGGAAATGGCCTTGGGCTGACTTCTCAGGTTGATAGAGACCTCTCATTTAGCTGTGTTCCCAGGGTTGCATTTATTTGCTGCAACAAATATGCTTCTCTTAAAGTCTACTAGCAGTGCCTTTGGGACCCTGGGATTCTATTCTCTCTTGAAAGATGTTTTTTTGTTTTGTTTTGTTTTAAATCCCCTATTTTCCTTCCTGGAATTGCTCCAGGGTTTGTACATTTGCTTGTTTATTGTCCTGCTCTATTGTTTTGGATGAAAACTCCAACCTTTCCTGACCCACTTCCATTTTCAAGTTCTTCAATCTCCTGAGAAAGGTGCGAATGTGTAGGAAGGGGCTTCCAGTGCGGCAGGGGTTCTCTTGGTTCCTGAGGCCCTCCTGGGCATGAGTGTCTCTGGCCCTACCCTGTCAGGATGGCAGTCTGGCCTCTGTAGGAGAGAGCAGAGACCTTGGGAAGACCGGTGTGGCAGCAGTGCTGGCCTATGGCCTTCTGCATTGTCTGTCATTTGCCATGCCTTCTCTGTTGACTTTTCTTCTTTCTCCTTCCCCCACTTGCAGAAGGGTGGGACTGGAAACAGTGCAGCCGTGGCTGCTTTATCTCTGCCCTCCGTGGTGTACTCATGGCCACAGCGGTGACTCACAGGAGCCCGGCCACCTAGCAGCTGTGCATCCTTTCAACCTTTGAACTGGAACTGCTGGCTCACACGTGGCTTTCGATGACTGTAGCTGGACCCGATGGGAAAGCTGGATTCCTCTGCCTTATGTTTGAACACCAGGACCTCGCCTACCAGGTGCTCGCCACTGGTCCTGGCAGAAGCGACTGCCGAGAATGACCTTCCAAATCCACGGTGGAACTTCAGCACTTACAGGCTCTTAAATAAAAACTCTTTAGATGTGAGGCCACATGTGCGTTGGTTTGGATATTTTCTGCTCTTGCGGCCAGTGAGGTGCCTTTTGTGATTAGGAACATGGGCACGAGGCTATGGAGAGGGCAGGGTGGGGTCCCAGGGTCTGGATCCTGATGATGTAGATAAAGGCTTGGGAATGAAATAGTGCCTGAGGGGAGGGGAGGAGGGGACATGCTATTTTTACATATTCATTTGTAGACTCACTTGCTCATTTCCTGGAAGCTGGCTCTTTGGCCAAGAAATACTGAGCCCTAATTGTTTTAGGAGAATCTTGGGGTATCTTCAGAGAGCATAGGATCAATCACGTCAAAAACTTATTACTGCCTTATACCTGGCATGGTTTACACTTTGTATGAATGAGCGTGGGACACTGTCAGGGCTGGGTTAGCACCTAGGTTAGTAAAAGCCGGAAGGAAATGCTCATGCCATTCTAACATGGTGTCCTTGGAAGTCACCAGGAAGCTGGTGGCTGTGGTCTATTTCACTCCTCCGTGAGGCGCTACTCCTGTTCTTGGTCTTCCCTACAACTGAGGCAGTGACCAGGATTCTCCGGGGTAGTCCTTTCCCCAGGCACAGCTGACTGGGAAGCAAGTCCCCGAAGGAGGATTTCCCCATCATTTCAGTCCCTTCAGAGGCATGTCTTCTGCTGAGCACCCACACTGTCAAGTTTGTTCATATGCCCAGGGATGATGAGCCAGCGCAAGGGGGAGAAGGAGTGGGTTCTGGAATGGGCAGGGGTCCCTCTTCATGAAGAAGCATCAGCTGGTATTGCAACTTGCCTCTTAGTTTTGATTGTTCAGTTGGGGATCCGTCCTCCACTACAGCCCCTTCTACACAAAGACCCATATTTCCCAATGTGCGGACCATCCACCAGAGGCTAGTACATTAAAGATTATTTGTAACATCAAAGCCCCTTCCTCTACGGTCCACATTTCCTATCATAAAAGTGCTAATTGTATGGTTATTTTCCCACTGTGTTCAGATGGGGGAGAGATTGGGACATCATGACAAAATGATGCTTTATGAGGACATGGGCACAGAGGTCCAAGCAAAGGCTTAAGTTTCATTTGTGTCCCATGCCTGGCCCTTCAGTGACATTCTTGGATTTGGGTACTATTTTAGTGGAAGCAGGGAGAAATGATCCAGAAGAGCAGGGTTTGAAGAGAAAGAGGGGTGTGGGGTCTATCAGTGTCCCAAACTTGCTGGTGAGATTTGGCAAGAAGCCACTGAGAGAGAGTGACACCTTGGTGTTGCTAGTTCCTGAAGAGGGAAGGGGAGAGGAGGATTGTGTTACCAGCATCAACGACAAAGAGGGTTATCCCTCAGCACAGGGGAGAACAGTTGCGAAGTGATGGTTGCCTGCTGCTTCCTTGGTTACCCACCTTCCCTGCTGCCTCCCTGGTCACCTGCCTTCCCTGCTGCCTCCCTGGTCACCTGCCTTCCCTGCTGCCTCCCTGGTCACCCACCTTAGCTGCTGCGTCTCTGGTCAACTGCCTTTTCTGCTGCCTCCCTGGCTGCCCACCTTCCCTGCTGCTTCCTCTAGGCTCCCGTCTTCCCTGCTGCTTCCCCGGTCATCCGCCTTCCCTGCAAGTTCTTCTTGTAGCAACATCGTGAATTTGCAGATTTAACTTTTGCTTATATTTTAACCACTGGCAGCTTCCTGGGCCTTCTGAGGGGTTTTGGGTTAGGCTGTGCATTTGGTTTCCATTTTCAGTTCTGATCTCATCACCAAAGAGCCCATTCCTGGCGCCTGTGATATATGATGAACTCTTTGCCAAACTGGAATCCAGCTCTGGGGGCATTTTCCATGTCTTCTCTTTTTTCTAAACAAGATGTAGAGATAGGCTTTGAGGTTGCCACTGTTTCAAGGTCCCATTGTATTTCTTTGTGATGATTCAGTTTCCCACATTATAAGATTTTGAGACCATTTTCTGGATCCTGGGGCCTGGACATCCATCAGACCCCATCGTCTGATGTTCTTACTTTTCCTCTTAATTCCCTCAGGGTCCTGGTAAATGCCAGTGCCCTTTTCTCTCCTTTCTTTAGTCGGAATCACCATTCTTGGAAAATAACTACTGGAAATGTTCTGGAATAGAAAGTGAAGAACAACAGAGTCCTGTAAGAACCACATAAAGTAACTAATGACATGGAATAAATAATCTCCTTTTCACTCGAAAGCTCCCCCAGGAGAACACTCTACTGCCTTGCAAGCCAGTCTCCCTCTGTCCGCCGTTTGTGCCATGCTGGTGGAGAGGCAGGGTCCCTTTGCCGAGATGCTGAAATTCTCAGCTGCTTGCGAGGCAGTGGGAGTATCAAATGAGATAAGGCACACACAGTGGGTTCTCCTTAAGTGGGATGTCATTTTATGATACATCCAGCAAGTGTTCAGGGAGCGGGATGCAGAGGTGGATGAGACAGGCACATTTCTGATCCACAAGGCTGGAGGTTGGTACGCAGAGTCCTGCATGACTGTTATCTGGTTTACTGAGGTATCTGCGTCCCAGCAGCCAAGAGCATCAGCTACTATTCACTGAGCTTTTATTAATATGTTCCAGAGATGTAAAGAGACTCATTTGTGTAGTAAGATGAGCTTGGTCTCTGAAACTCGACTCCTTGAGCTAGAATTCTAATTCTAACACTGTGTGATCTTAGGCAAATCTCCAACCCTAACCCCATTCCCAATCCTAAGCCTAACCCCAACCCTAACCTTAACCCTAACCCTAACCCTACCCCAACCTCTCTATGATCTTCACTCCTCATCTGTAAGAGGGGAGTGTTATGAAGTGGCTGTACTAATGTCTTGAAAGTATTTACAGCACTAATGTATTAATGTATCCGACAACACTGCAAAGTAGCTTCTGTGTTAACATTTTTACTTTCAAGAGACAAAGCCAAGGTTTTGGTTGCCCAGATCCCTTGTTAGCAGTGGTTTGCTGAAGGCCTGGGTGCTATGCACAGTGCTACATCGCCACCCAGTGCTGGGACTTGGTCCAAGGTCAGGGCCAAGTGCGCAGAGGGGAAGGTGCTGATCCCACCTAGGTCCCTCTGGCTAGTTACAAAGTTCTGTGGGACTCTAGTGGCACAGGGAGTGTTGGGGAGTAGGGAGTCCTCTGAGGCCATTCTCTTTCTGGGGGCAAGAAGTTGGTAGTGACTGGTGCTTGGGAGAGTGGGGCGCATGGATGTGGTTCTGAGCAGAAGGGAGAGAGGGCTATGGAGGAAGCTTTTGTTTAGGATTTTATCTACATCTTCTAGGTTTTTCAATTTGTTGGTGTATAACTGTTCATAGTAGTCTCCTATAATTCTTTGTATTTCTGTAGTTTCAAGTTGTAATGTTTCTTTCATTTCTGATTTTATTTTATTTTTTGTCTTCTTTTTTCTTAGTCTAGCTAAAGTTTTGCTGATTTTGTTTGTCTTTTCACAAAAGCAACTCTTAGTTTTATTGCTCTTTTCTGTCATATTTCTGCTGCTGAAGGCCTGGGTGCTGTGCACAGTGCCATATTGGGCCTTCTACTTACCTGGATAACCCAGCTCCTCCTTTGGGAGACAATATTTGTTTCTTTTTTTGGTTTGTTTTTGAGTTGGAGTCTCACTCTGTCGCCCAGACTGGAGTGCAGTGGCTGCTCCCGGCCACCGCAGCCTCGACCTGCTGGGTTCCGGTGATCCTTCCGCCTCAGCCTTCCGAGTAACCGGAATTACAGGCAGGCGCTACCACGCCCGGCTGATTTTTTGATTTATTGTAGAGATGAGGTCTCGCTGCCCAGGCGGGTCTCGAACCCGTGGGCTCAGGCAATCCGCTCACCTCAGCTTCCCAAAGGCGCGGGATTACAGGCTGAACCACCGAGCCTGGCTTAATATTTGTTTCTTAAAAGCAGAATGAGTTCAGCCTCAGGGACACAACATCACACTGGAAGGAATAGTGCACCCAGGAAGCCTGTCTTGCTTCCTCCGATGTCTCCCTGTTTCCGTCCTTATTATGGGCACTTTTGAGGGGACAACTTTGGGTAAGATAGGTCCACCGTCCTAAGGGGGCCTCTGTCACCTTCCCTAAGTGGAACATCTGTCCCTTAGATAGGGGTGTCATGCTCAGATTTGTGGGGTGCCCCGATTCCAAATAGTTTCATTTCTTTTATGAGCATTTAGGAACCTGTCAGATCATGTGCTCCAGTGTTGGTTCTAGAAGACTTTACTATTTTAGACATGGACTAGATTCATTAGTTAAACATAGGACTTGGAGTACTGAGGAAACATTTCAGACTGATTTAAATAGCAGAATTTTGAAAAAATTATTACTTATGAAAATGATCTTTTGGATCATTCTGGAATTTTGGAATATATATAATTATAAATAGATAAAATAAGTTATTTAGATAATAATAACACTTATTAGCATTTGATAGATTTTCCTCTGAACTTTTTCCCTCCCTCCCTCTCTCTTTCTCTTTTCCCCATCCATTCATCCATCCATCCATCCTTCCTTCCTTCACTCACCATTTGCAAACACGTATTGAATGCCCACTTGAAAGGCTCAAGAAGTTGGGTGTAGGGGAGGACCAAACACAGCACTGCCGGGGATGACAGCTAATACAGTGCTGTGACAGGAACATGGGGCCTCAGATACCTGACAAGAGAGGAACCAGCTATGCTTAGACTACGAGCGACCTCTGGGCTTCTATGTGTGTGCCTTGCCATCTTTTTCTCTACAAAACTGGGCCATCCGACCTGGTTTTTCTCACTTAATGTTATGAGCATTCCCCCATGTCCATTAACATTTAAAACAGTCTTTTAAGAGAGAGCCTTCCAATTGTCCTTTGTAGGATCGCTCTACTGAGCAATCTGTCTCCAACCTTTGTTGGCAAAAGCTATGGATAAGAGAGGCCTCACGAGGTACAAAGAGGGAGGTCTGGGGTCTGACCTGGCTTCCAAGAAGAGCTTAGATCCTGGGCAGTCTCTTCCTCATTCCTCCTCTTCACCCTCTTTTGATATTTCCGTTTGAAA